TGTACTCTATTGGAAAGTACAGTACCACGCTCAGACCCGGCACAACACTTCGATCACTCAGCCAACGGCAGGAAACCATGGGTTCAGTCTTATTCAGACCTGGCCCCCACCGCGCCTCAGACCTTGCTCCGATAAGCCTCGTCACAGCGTGTTCGCCCCGCCCATCTCAACAAAGTATTGGTGCATAGTTGCAAGCAGTGTTAGACGGGTTTATATCAGTTTTCTGTTATGAAAGTGTGAAAGGACTTCACATTTAAATACAGTGCACCGCATTTTTTTTATTTACCGAAAGATGTATAACATTTGAAAGACTTCAATCGACTGAAAAGCAATAAGCCAGCAAAAGAAAATTTGCCGTCATTGGAAGTAAAAATAAAAAAATATGAAATAAAAAAATATGAACGATTCAAACAATTTTTAGTTATACTTTCAAAAATTATGCATCGGTTACAGTATAAACAATTTTGAAAACTGTACTACTCACGTTTGCATCGAAAAGTCCTCTAAATTGTCCAATCGAAAGCATCGTTCTATTAATGTAAGGCATTTTCTGCAACAAGAAAAAAATGGCATATTTTAGAAAGGTTCTTATAAATTAGTAAATTACTGGCTTTTACTGTACTATACCATTTGCTACTCCAAGTGCTCAAAACTATTCCAGTTCTATTAGTTCCATTCAAAACAGTCATCATCCACATTGTACAGTGATAAATTATTGATGTAAGCCCTAATTCGCCGCACTCAATTTTAGTTCTTAAATTTATTATAGTCATTTGCTGCAAATAGTATTAAAAAAATAAACACGATCAGTTCAATAGCTTTGATATTTTCCACCACCACCTAAAAATCTACTCTTTTAATTACCACTGCCAATAACCGAAGGAATAGATCCTATGCCAAAAATATGGAATCATATAAATAGCTGTATTTTATCTGCACACAATTTGCCGCTTTAAATATTAGCAGATAAAAGGAATTACATTGAAAATACAGCTTTACAGTATCTCATTAGATGTTGTTTCAATTATTATACTTATTATTAAATTACTAAAACAAAAATTTTTAGGCCTTTACTGGTTAATTGAATACAAACAACATCAGGCATTTTAAATACTGTCTACGAAAATTGTAAATCTTACGTATTCGTTCTCGTCCCAACTGAGTTGCAGAAAAGTTTTTGAAGAAGATGAAGAAATAGAATATTTTGATAAATAAAAAGAATAGTGCTTATGAGCAGTAATCTACCAACTGATTCGAGAGAATTTATTTCGATTAAGCTAACAAAATAAACTGTACGACATTAAGTGTTCAATCGCTGACGGTTATAAAAGTTGAAACATTGATGCTGAAACCAACACCACTTTATGTCATCGATCCGTTTGTTTACAAATATTAACCGACAATGGCCAAATAGTGAAATTTAAACAAAAAAAAAAGGAACATCAACTAATATTATGAACAATAATTTACCATTAAATCATTTCTTTCTTTTTCCTTCATGTTTTTTTTTTGCAAAATTAGCTAAACTGTAATTTGATGACGGTTTGATGTCGAAGTCAGTAAACGACGTATTAGTGCTACAGATGTTACTGTTGATACTGAAGTTTAATATACAACTGATTCTTTTTCTCGCTGCCGTTTAAACTTTCCAGCCATTTTAGCTGTTCCAGCGTGTTCCTAGCTTCCATTTTTTGCTTCTACCACAATCACAACACATTCGCTTATCTTCATTGCTGTACAACTGGCACAGTGTTTCAAAGAAGTGTCTTCAAAAGATCTCGACAAAAATATAGA